ACTAACAGCAAATGTAATACTGCCACTATGTTTTCTGGGCATTAAATCCGCTTTAACGTGCTTCAGCTGTAAAACACCCTCATGCATACTGACAGCAAACACGATCAGAAGAAACGACAGAGACATTCTTGACATTTACTCTAAGTCATAAAGTGGCAAAGTATATACCGTCTATTTTTATACGGTAGTTCAGCAGTATATCACCATTCTTCTGTCAAAGTGTAAGGTCGATGTGTATTTCAGTGTAATTAAACATGTCGTGCTGCAACGATTTAGAATTGTGTTTTACAAAAAAGATAATTCAACCTGTTTGCCCATTTGCGGGTTGAAGGATTAGATCAACACTTTTACATTTCCTTTGTTAACTTGCATGGTGAATTAACTGTTGGGCTCTACTCAAGTACAATTGTATGGTACTTCGGAAAGGTATTGGAGCCATTTTCACGTTTGATTTATGTTGGGAATATCTATTATATTATGCAAATGTTCAGGATTTATATTTGTATTTTTCTCATTTCTCATCTGCTGCAGCACCTCTTTTCACCCTCTGTCTGAAACCAGAGCCCAGTCTGCTCTGATTGGTTAGCTGGCCTCCTCTGTTGTGATTGATCAACCGCTCAGAGATTCCCCGTCCCTTCCCGTACAATGTGTGGGAGTGCTAGCCAATAGAAGCACAAGTGTTACTAGGTGATGTTACTATACTATGGTTGTACAGGAGAGAAACTCCCTTTGGAAGGAACTTTGGTATTTTAGCCTTTGCAGACCATTGATATGCACAAAAACCTATCACACTACAGGAGAGGGAAAACCCAATACAATTGTGGGGTTGGGGTTAGATGGAGTAATGCCACAGTTTTCTAACCACATTGTTTTTTCACCTTATTTAACATGGTACACCACATTATTAGGCACATTCTTACTTATTCTGACTGTCAATTGCCTGATCACAAAAGTAATATTTGGATTAACTTGTTTCGGGGAAAGTCAATTGATTATTGTTTGATTTTTATATATATTTGTTTATCTCATAGGCTTCACAGAAGTTAAAGTCCAATATTAGCCAATTCATTGTTGGAAAACTACTGACAAAGACAATATTGTATATAAGTAGGACTCAACCGTAGCCTAGCCTTATGCATTTATGAAAAGTAAATGAATTTGCTGACTTCAAAGCTATGCTTTAAAGTAACAACTAACGGGGGCTTCATATAAATGTAGTGAAGCCAAAAATATAATATCTGTCTTTCAGTTGAGTAAAAGTAATAAGTTACCCATAATTTGCAAGTAAACTGCAGATACTGAGGAAGAATGTACTTATGTACAGTACTCGAGTCAATATACTTTGTTATCGTCCACCACTGATAGCGAGTTATGCAGGAAATCCACCTTATTTTGCTTCAGCTGTAAAACTTGTAAAATAAATTCATCAATTGCTTCTTACTGAACTTATAACATAAAGATGAAGATTTCAATGACTTTCAGTCTTTGGTGCGATATGTTTGACATATATGGTCTATTTCTATGAAGCGGTTTAGCGGCCATAAATCACTGTGTGGTCCAGTGCCAGAAAGAATTTATTACAAGGTCACACCGCTTGATTTGAAGGCGCTACCGTTCACACAACACCTCGACTGTGATGTCTCTGTGTGGTCCCATTTTTTGTTTTTTTCTCTGTTTTTACACAATTATGTTTGCTTTCTGAAGCCACTCATGCATTGTTGTGTCAATTTGATTTACATAAATGCAGAGAATTATGGGAACTCTCTTTAATATGTCTGATTTGTACTAGTACACTAAGATTTTCTCAAGTAAACAAAGCAAAATAGTAGAATGTACTGTTGAATGTTCTCCAATAGGAAATAAATACAAATGTTTATTCTTGGATTATAGATGTCCGTGCAGGGAGAAATTTTGACTTTGACATAATTCTCCATGGACAGATTTCAGGCTCTCTAGGATATTGCGTTTGGGGTTTAGGGAATATCACAGGCGAGGTAATCTTGATTGGGCTTGACAGTCCCCTTCCAGTGTCAACATGCTATTTTTACCCCACTCATTTCACATTATTGCCCTCAGGCAACCCAATCCCATCTCAAAATCTCTCATTATTTAAACATGCAAAAAAGAAATTAGCCTCCATCGAAGTCTACACTGATGTGGTCGCATTTCATATACTCTTTCAAGATAATGCAGAGCTCATCTCTCGACGACTTTGAAAATGTCCTTCTTGTGTTATAATAAGAAATTAGTTAATCAGTAAACCAGAAGGAAGAATACATATTATTTTGTAATGTGAGTCTTATTACTTTTGAGACTTATTATGCTATTTTGACTAGAATGACCAACTGGTTAAGTATGGAGGGAATACTGTTGTTTTTTGGTCATCAAATATTGTTCGAACAATGGGCGGCAAGAGCTGTCTATTCATGCTTCCCCTTTTTGATCTGTAGAAATGATTTATGAGATGATTAAATGTAAAAGTCCACGGTTTTGTTGGGAGTTATCTCCATTTTGCTTGCTGGTGTTGAACGCTGAATGTTAAAACGTCATACAACCTTCAAAAAGTTTATCTCATATGACATTCTGGATATTAGTCATACATTTTTCTGAACTTTCAGAAATGTTCCACCTTTGCATTAAAACAAATGGCTTATCTGTTCATATTAGTGTGTCATTTAAAGTTTTCTCACTTTTTCATGCATGTTTTATTGTTATCCACTCATTTATGCTGTGAGCTAGAAACTCTATTCAAACTTTTAAACAGTTGACACATCGTTCATTCGTTCTGGGTATTATTCAACTTTCAATTTGTTTACGTTATTTTGGACATATTCAACTTTCTTCCAAGCTCAATTAGACTCCTATGTTTTATTCTGTGATATAATGAAATCACCATGTAACACTCGTGCTTCTATTGGATAGCGCTCCAACACATTGTACGTGAAATCTCTAAACGATTGACTAATCAGAACAGAGCCGATCAGCTAACCAATCAGAGCAGACTGGACTCTGGTTTCAGACAGAGGGTGAAAAGAGGTGCTGCAGCACAGGCAGTATGAGAGAAATAAAGAACTTTTTGAACATTAGAGCATGGAGACATGGCAATAGAGGCACAAAATAAAAATATGAATCTGAAATGTGAATTTGATGTCCTCTTTAAATAATTTCCGATCAAAATGTATAAAAATGTTTGCTCTTACAATAAAATAATATCCAATTTCACCAAAACAAATCAAAACAATTAGCTGAACAATGATATAACGCGCCCTTAAGCTAAGGGGTTAAAATTATATAGTCATATAAACCATATTGATTATAAAAATGCTGTATTTTAACATTGGTGAGTTCTCCTTCTGAAGAGCCTTTAATACTGCTCCTACTACTAGGATGGGTTAAATGCAGAGGCCAAAATTCACTGTGTGTGCTGTGTGCTCTGCATGTGTGACCATTCAATATATAGAATTGGAGGGTTTCATCCCTCCGATTCTATATTCTATATCTATAATAAGCACTAATATGTGGACCGTAATTCAGAGATATGGACCAAGGTTATCTAAAGTGTAGACGGTATAGATATTTACTATTCGTCCAAACGTTTGGTTGATGTAACCTGAGAGCAAAACCGTCCCCCAAAATAAAGGCAAACAAGCACTTCATTTTATTGATGTTATGTCTCATTATTTATGGTTGTTGACAGCTTTCCTATTGCGGAGTAAACCAATGTTGCTTTAACCGTGTCGGTGACTGCTCAGCAAACTTCACTTTCTGCACCCAGTTCTGAAACATGTCACTGGGAAAGGTTTCTAATGACCTGAGTCGCCCCCGTTTTGAGATCAGGCTCAGATCTGTCCATATTATTGAGTGAAAAATGCTTTATTACGGTAGGAGGGTTTAACTGTCTGACACATTTGTACGTGCTCACGCTGCTGACTGTCTCGAAAATGACAGAAAGCATTTCCTGGAGAAGTAAACAATCGTCCATTTATTTTTTTATATTTCCACTTGTTTACATCAATTTATGGTGAGCACCACAACTTCAATACATGCTTATCATTTTTAAATGAATGCAACCTCAAGCTTTCAGGCTGTACCATCCAGCAGCCTCACCTGCAGACAGCTGCTGATGTCAAAATAAATATTGAATGTAAAATATTTATCTCCCCTTTCAACTTGAAATTGCCTCACTGCAGTATTTCAACTCCACAGGGTCCCACTTGACAATTCCATTTCCTTCATCTTAAGAAAATAATAAACGTAACATTTGCTAGAGATTACTTTATTTTTGGCTTGAGATTGCAGCAAGAAATGTTTGCTGTGATAGAGCAAGCCAGCATGGAAAAATATAATTGTATTTATCATTTGTCAGGGCTTTCATGCCGACTCCCTACTACTTGGGTTCATTACCCAGCAATATGCAGAAATTGTGTTTTTTATATAGAAAGTAATCACTGGGTCACTCTGTCCAGTCTCCAGTCTGAGTCTTTCTTTTGATTTAACAGATTGAAATTGTGAAAAATATGCCTTCTACTTTCGTCACAGCTTGTAGTACAATTGTATTTGCTCATTGCATATGAACAGCAGGACAGAAGGAAAACCAGTGTTTTGTAAAACAGTAAAAAATGCAGGTCATTTGCATTAAAAAAGCGGGGGTCAAAATGTAAGGAAAGATAACTATGCGTTGGCAGAGGGTGGTAGACTTTGTTGACAGAGAACGTGTGAAAACTCACAGCTTGTGAGACTACCTCTAATGATATCTCTACCTATTAGTCTCAAAATGAAAGAAAAGGTCACGGTGCCACAAGTAATCGTGCAATAATTCACATTCTGTCCATTTCCAGGGATACAACACCAAAACACAAGAAGTATTCACTTAAAAATGATTTAATGAGGTGGAGTGATAATGTCTGTGATATGTTGATAATGTTTGCACAATATAGAAAATTATTATTAAAAATAATTCTATAACCATAGTTTTTCTTCTTCTCTTGCTCTCTGTACAGATAACGTCTACAAGAAATGTCTTGCAAACGGGACATGGGCGCTGAAGGGGAACTATTCCATGTGTAAGGCCATACTTCACGAGGAGGTAAGAGGTCCCAGCGTGTGTTGTTTGTGTGTATGTGTTCTGATTAATGAAGCTTTTCATGCAGCATGAAACATAATCAAAAACCAACAACTAAGGCGAGGTTAGCAGGGGAAGATGAATGCTGCAGGTTTGCTCGGAGCTTATTTATAGTAAATATAGATTCCAGGTTAGGTTCCTCAGAGCCTGCAGCCTTTAACTGACTATAACTACCATGGCAGTACTATGAAATGCCCAAAAGCATCCCCTGCAGGCTTCAGGAGCACAAAGAATGTTTTGTATTTAAAAAGCGCTGCGGCTTTAATGTCATCTTGTCTGGTTTTATAAATATATAATCTGCTAATCAACCTGCAGCTATTTCTCTTTTGAAAGCATCCAAACAAAAAACAGTTTCTTTTAGTAAATTCCTCAAAATAAATGTCAGACGGAAATGTGATTTTTCTAAACAGCATTGTCCTCTGGCAATGAGAGCAAGAAAACACAATCGGTTGGCTTTGGTTGAAAGCAACAGCATGCTGCATTTTAGGACCTGCTGTGCTCTAGTTTGTTATCCATTCACAAGGGTTTGTTGCATAGCCTCCACCTGCATGGTGTGTTGTGATGTGCAGATGTGGTGATTAGATTTTTTTTTAATAACCCAAAGCCCTCAGACAGAACATGCTAACCCAAATGAGGCTGTGACAAGTAGACAATTGAGTTGATGTAAGTGAAATATAAAATGACATGATTGAAAGATGTAACACAGCATGTTTGTTTTGCCTGACCTGACCATCTGCTGAGACTGAACTGAATATGCAACAGTTGAGTTTCCATCAACATTGTTACCCTGGTTCAATAGGCTCTGTTGTGTTTTCCTTTCCCCGATTTCAATCCAATTTATATCTCCTTGAGCTGCACTTAAAAGGTTAAGCCAGCAATATGCTATATTGCTCATCTCTTATAAACATGATAAGATCCAAACCAGTATCAGTTAGTCCGTAATTCAATATTTTTCTAAATCATCTTGCCATGTTTGTTACATTGAAAACATAAATCTTAAAAAAATAGAAATGTAAAAAGTGCTGAGTTGTTTGCTAAAGCAGCTGGCCGCTTACATGTCTATCAAACGTAACTCAACACAAGTAAATAATGCTTTTAAAAGGGAACATTTTTTGACTAATAATTCACATCTAGTAGCCTACTGTAGCATTTCCAGCAACTGGACGTACAATTATTTAGCTTAGCATACAGTCTCTTTTGTCAATGTCTGTTTGGCAGGTCAGAATAGGCTATTTGTTTTATCTGTCCTTAACCAATTTGTAACACGTGTTACACGTCACAAATCTTCTAAAGTTAAGGTCATTTTAAGTAGACTCAGTAGCTAGCTTTGTTAGCGCTTGCTAAATTGTTCACAGCATTCAAATGAAAAGATAGATAGAGAGGATTGATAACACTGATGTCTGTATGCTAAGTAGCCTAGCCTATAGAACTGCAGCTAGGAAGTGATTAGCTTAGTTTAGCTTAACTAAGCTGCGGACTGTAAGCAGTGCGAAAGTAAATAAAATACCCCTAAAAACACCTCTAAAGCTCACTATTAACACACCGTACCATATGTCACATGTTTATTCTGTAACTTCAACCTGCTTCTATTCTTTATGCTAATGTTGCTAATTGCTTTTTAGCTCACACTCATTTAAACAGATTTGAGAATGATTGATTTTCTCATTTATCTCTTAACACAAAAGCATATAGGCTTTTTTTTCCAAAATGTTGATTTCTCTTCAAAGAGTTATTTCTGTATTGTATCTTGAATAACATCCTTTTTGACACTCGATTTTGTCAATCAGGTCCCAAGATGCAGTACAGTTGTTTCAGTTTCAGACATTTAAACATGTTGTGGAACGAGACTCTAGGCCTGATGTACAATCGATCTGAGGAAGATGGATATGGACTGTCTGACCTTTTTAAATATGTGTTTGATTTTTTTTTTTTTTGCGGCCATGAAATAAATCACCAGGTGGCAGCGCTGGCGTGATTGACATCAGTAGGAGAACAGGAGGGGAGGCGTTGAGGACGCCTCTCTTTAAAGTTCAGCCTATATTGAACCGGATATTCAGTGGTCCCGCTGGGAAGAGAAACTCTGGATCAAAGGCTTAATGGAAAGTTAGTTTGAGGAAAAGGAAAAATATCCTCTTTTCCTTTTGGGCCTGTCTCAAGGTTATTTTCTCAAATATACGATAAGTGTCTTTGTTGTATCTCATGGAAATAGAGGGATTCAGGTTTAGGTTTGACTCTTGTAGCCCACACACTTTCTCGGAGACCTGAGGCGAGTGGTAGGTTGAGTCTTATATTATCCTGTTGTCGTCCACCCCCTCCTCTCTGAGCCCTGCTATCCATTTGAAACCCTCCTGTTGGCTTGATTTATGTCCTGATGTGTTAGCCAGTCTTGCAGTGTCTCTTAAAGGACTGACTCACATTTTCTCTTTTCTGGTCTATATTACAACAGCCTCGCTCATATATACATTGAATTCATTCAAAGTGTAGTCACTATCATTGTAATCACTCTCCTGTCGTACTACCCTTGAAAGGATCCTTTTATAGCGTGATTCAGCTGTAAGACAAAATCTACATTCCTTGTTTGGTAAAAAAATGTATTATGCTGCAGCAGAGGGACATGTAAGTAGTTTTATTTAGTTTGAATTACTGGGACAATACACAATGTGGAACTCCCAGGACAGGAATACCCACGTGATTTGTTTCTATAAACAAGCAACTCTATTTGGTTGGATTGGGTTAGTCAGATTCCTCGGAAAATTCACTCAAATCACGTTGTCCACATCCAAAATAAAACACAACAACTACCCAGAAATCATGTTTGTGGGAAAGAAACTCCCTCTGGTGGGAATTTAGGGACTTTTGGCCTTTGCAGCATTTACATGTACAACAACCTATAACACACTACAGGAAAGGGAAAACCCAAAAAGCATAAAAGGACCTCTTTAAGATATATAACATGTGACAACCTGAAAAGCGATGTACTGTAAAGCTTGAGAATCCAGACCCAGACAATGGACAGAATGGATTTGATGTCCTACTAGAGTTGGTGAGACTTCATGTATTATACAGAAACATTTATAAACTGAGGATGTGTAACTTACCAAATACCCTAAAAACTCAATTTATCTAATCCCAAAACATTTATACAAATAAATAATGCTTTGGATTAAATTCATTTTAGGGAGTATCTTATTTTGAAATCCCAAGCCGTTTAGTGTATTCCAGCTCTGACATATTTAAATAACAATTGCCGCCTTAATCTCTTTATGAAGACCGACACAGATAGAGACATTTTTGTATTGTTATTAATTCCATTTCTTACCTCTGGACATCTGCAAAGCACACTAAAGCACACTGCACTACTAATATAAACAGTTTTTTACACCCAAGGAGGGGAGATTTCCTGCTTAGTGTCACAAACTTCAGTACTATTCAGTTTACTTTCATTTAAGATGAGGAATCGCAGCAATTTGTCACACATAAAAGGCTTAAACCATGACATAAACCAACATCTTAGAAAAATAGTGGCTGAATTGTTTTTTCAAATTCACAAATCAACACAATGATAACGTAGCTAATACACACTGTTTGCTCGACAGATTTTTTCATAGTTAATCATATTTTAAAAGTTATTTGTTGGTGAAATCTGGATTTCTAGTGTAACTTAAGCTGTCCGATAAATATAGTGGATTTAAAATGAAAACAATATTCTGAATTGTGTTGAAGTGGATGCATAAATTGTCATGAAATAGGACTTCTAAAATAAAAGACTTCTAAGAATCATTCCTCAGTTCCTTGTGTCGTGCCAATCACTTTTTGAAGTTGTTAGTTACAGCCTCATATGGCAAGTGAGAAGAGACTTGAACAAAATCCGTACAAATCCTTTAATTTATTTCGCATTCGGAGAGAGTGCAGGATTATTCTCTCGAAAAGCATTAAGCATGACCGCAATATTTCCGTATCCACAACCAAGTGTTTTGCCAAAATCAGTCAAACCCTATCCACAAAGGTGGCAGATGGGAAATACGACTGATTTTGTAACGGTCATGTGATTCTTTGTAAAAGGAAAACATTTTCTTGTTTTAGTATGAAGACTTGTTTTTCAATTCCACAAATATCTAAGCTTATACAGAGATCGATGCGCAATAATTATATCAAATGGAACAATTAATGATACAGTGTTAATACCAAGCCATTTTTTACTAAATATCAGTGAAAGGGTGGAAGATGTACAAAATAAAGTGAATGGGAGAATTTGTTGCAGGCTGGGGGGGCAGGGATTAAACATGTCCAAATGTAATCTGGGTGTAGACACTACTAGGTTATGTAAATCCACTTACATCACAGATTACTGTTGGTAGTGTGGGGGAAATCCGATCACAATGGCAATCTGAGTCACAGGGAGATTTCTTTAGCTCCAATTCCGAGGAAGTTGTGTTCTATGAAAAACCTTCAGAGACAGCAGCAGCAGCGCCAGAAATGTGGATAATGTATTTGAGCGTGTGTGCTCTTATCTTTTCTAATAGGAAAATCAACAAAGAGATTAAAAAAACGACCATAAAGAGACACAAAACAAGCCCCAAGAGACACAGATGCACAAACCAACCATAAAACACGAAAGAAACAACCAAAAAAAGACAAAAGAGATATTAAAGAAATGAAAAAGCACCACAAAGACTCACAAAGGGATGAAAAGGCACCCCAAATAGATGCAAAATTACTTTTAAGAGATACACAACGACAACAAAGAGACAAGCACAGGAGTAAAGAATAAAAGCAGTCACGCAAAGAACAACAAGTACATGTAATGCAACTTGCATTTAATGTTTATTTGACTAAGAAGTCCCTTGAGATGGGAATCAATTTTCCTAAGGGAGTTCAGGCCCAAGCAGCACAGCAGTAACAGTCTAAATACAAATAAGACACAACAATCAGGAAATCAAATCATCAAACACACAAGGAGGAGACTTAATCCAGCTCAAATAAACAGTTGCATTTCTCCGGTTCATGGATTTATCACATTGAGTGGATTGATATAGTACGCTATGCAGATTATTCCAAGTCTAAGAAGTAGAAGAAGATTATTTTCCCAGCTCTGTGCAAACCCATGGAATCCAACTGGTGATAACAAATTAATAAAATCTCCAATAAGCATCCACTAAGACACAAGTTGAATACACACTTCAGGTGGGGAGTCTATTACTGTACATGTCAGTCTAGGGGGCATTTTCTAGCTACTATTTCACATTAGAATATTTGAGTGGCCTATTTATATGGTCTATTACACAATATAAACAGTGAAGTTATTAATAATGTAATGGAAATCGAGCTCGGAGCTTCAAATGTAACACATTTCTAATCCTAAAAGTTTCTAAATCCGCCTGTGTTTAAAACCACAGCAGGGGTCCACTCTTTGAGAACAAAAATAGATGAAAAAGTAATTTTCAGTCTTTGAAGTCTCTTCTCTTATCCTGAGAATATTGTTTCTGTAAATCAGAAATACCCCAAAAGACTCAAGCTGTGTTTCTTCTCTCCCCGCAGAAAAAAGGCAAGATGCACTACCAGATAGCTGTGATCATCAACTTCCTGGGTCACTGCATCTCCATGGTGGCTCTGCTGGTAGCCTTCTTCCTCTTCTTGGGTCTGAGGTAAGTGTCGGTCCCACTGCCACCAGTCCGCTGATAATCCTAAAGACATCTTTGATGTGACAGAAACGTCAGTATTCCCGAGATCCCTCGTTTCAAAGCGCTTCTCATTGTTATTGAAAAACCGTTTGGTCATGGGATGAAACCTTCCCTATCTCAATCCCGCAGATGTAAAGGGGTTTAGAGGCCCGCAAAAACTAGGGCACATTTCCCCGGCAAATGGGAATAATAGACCAGGGAGAAAACCAAAACACTCTTGCCTGCTGGGACAATTGGTGGAGGTGGAGTGGGTTTCTCTGACAAACCGAAATAAGCCGACCGTAAACGACAGAAAAGGTCTTAGCACCCTCAACAGCCGGGGCTGTTATTGATCCCAGAGACACCGCCGGGGGGTGAGAAAAGCATGAAAGGCTACAGAGAGACACAATAAATAGAAGCTTGACAGGACAGCGTTTATGCACAACCCATGTTGTCTGGCTCGGACAGGGAGGGGGAGGGGGGACAAGTGCCAGCCGACTAAAAATGGCATCAAGGTAGTGAAGGAGTTTGGCATTTATTACTCACCTTCTACTCTTTTTAATGAGATTGAGAGCCATTTAAGGGAAGGTTGCCCCTGACAGTGTGATGGAGCGAAGGTTGACACTTCTGCTCAGTGTTGTGGAACTGGAACCAGACAGCGGCAAAGATTACAGCAGAGAGAAGAGATTTTTTTCGAGGGCAAAAAAAACAACTGAAATTGCAGTTTAAACAGTGAGACAAAATAGAAATCGCACTGTGAGTTACAATTTCAGGGTTTGCTTTTTAACAAGATCCTCCTGACAGAAACGTATACGCTCTCCTGGATAATCCTATACATACACTCAGTGCTTGAATTGGAATAAAAAAGGTGCCAGTACTCTAAATCAGCAACAAGTATTTGGGACAAAGTCATAGTATATCCTATAATGCTGGTGGGTTTGTCTCTTTACTGTATATTTTAGAAAGGCTCACTGTACTTAAACAAAAATGACTCAGGGTGCATCTGAGATTAGAGGGGGTGCAGTGGTAAAGTGCTATTTTTATAAGTGGGGAGTGGACCTGACACCCTCTAGTCTAGGGGGGTCCGTGGGCATGCTCCCCCGGGAACATTTTTTTTTAAATATTGAAGTTAGATGCATCAATCTGGTGCAATTTGAGGGGGAAATAAAGAGACTACACCCATATGAAACAAAAATGTATACATTTAAATAATCATAAAATCATAAGTACATGGCCATAACCAATAACATACAATATCCAATATGAAAAAACATTGAAACTTGTTTATTTATTTGTTTTTGGTTCATTTATAGTTGTGAGTGTGTCTGGGCTCCTGAATCGGCCTCTCCTGTCTCCCTCCTCTCCCCCCTGCTCCTCTTTGAGGCAACAGCAAAGACTAGTTTTAGCTCTCAACAACTTTATCTTACCTTTTTTCACCTAGTTAACATTTTGTTTGTATTATTCACGCATATTTTACTAATCACTACCCCCTCAAATGGAAATATGTGTTTACATAAATGGTGACCGAACCGTTTGAGACCCACTGAGATAACTTAAACTAAGTTAACTATCTAAAGACTCAGAGAGTAATTTACCTCACCAGAGCTGTAGTTATCATCCTCTCAGTCTGACAGCAAAGGACTGTCCTTCCACCTTGTTGTTGAAACAGCTCCTTATATCCGTTAGCGCAGCTAGCTAGCACCAGATGCTAACAACAATACACGTAACCGGTGCGCGCGCTTTCTCACTCGCTCGCGCCACACATACACCAACACACACCCTCCCGAGCTTGAATGACACACAGAGACCAATCGAGGGCATTAGTATGATCTGTATGAAAGTGGCAATGTCGGCAGGCCACGTCATGTAGACAGCCAGTCACCCTCTGTGAGGCAGAGTCAGACCCACATTTGCGCTGCGTTGCGTTCACAATATATACGTATATTGCCGGCGGCTGAGTACCGGCATTTTACTGAGTACCGGCACCTTGCCGGTACTCAGTAAGAAGTGCCGGTACCACATGGGTAAAAATCAGAAGTGCCGGTACTGCGTACCGGTGAGTACCGGCCCAATTCAAGCACTGCATACACTGTAGATCTGTTATTTCCAATGTAGTTATTATTAAATTAAATAATGTGGAAATGAACTAGTTTTATATCTGCTCTCAACTGCTTTTAAGTTAAACAAATAAATAAATATCATGGACGACAAATCCCAGTTATATCTAGAATGAAGACTTCCTCATGGCCAGTGGTGCATTCATGTGCTTATCGGATAGTCCCATTTCCAGAGACTTTAATTCATTCGTGCGCTTTAAATCTTAATGTGGACACAAAGTGGACACTAAAACAGAAGATGTGCATGTTATCACTCAGAGCATTGGAACAACACTGTCATGAGCAGCTGTTGATTTTCCAACATGAGGAGATATTCACATAAATGTACACAGTTTTTTCCGCTGCCACATGAATGCAGCACAAATGCTTCCAATTCTACGTGAAACACAGTTTGGCATTTGCCTTGGGATTTGGATCTGCTCTGATAAGTAAAGGATTCTTCTTTGGCCCTTTTACCAAGTTTCATGAAAATCTAACCTGTGTTTGTTTCGTAATCTTGCCGACAAAAGACAAAACCAAATGGAAAACATTAACTCTTGTTGGTGATACAAATTGACAAAAGAATATCATTCCTCAATCTGTTTTTAAAATGAAAGAACTACAGTTTTGTGAAGGAAAGTGCAAAAGCAAAGACACTTTGACACGAAGATTCAGGGATGGAACCACCAACCCTGAAAACAGTGGAAAAAAACCTTTACCGGTCTACTAATGGCATAAAATACTACGATGCGTGTGAGCTGTCTTCATATTTTATTTAATCTTATCCAAAACTGATCCAGAATCTGAAAGTGAATAATTCAAACTCTTTATTTATGTATCACCTAATAGTATTTTAATCTCTTTGGTTGGATGTTTCCGACATGTCGAGGTGTTCAGAGTGTGTAAGAACAAATCTTTAACACAGAATCCTCAAGGTCAACTGGGTGTACTTGGACACTAGTGTGTCTGAGCAGTGGAACTGAAAGTGTTTTTTTCCCAGTGAATAGATCTTTGGAAAGGTTAGAACGGATCATCTTCTTCATGCGTTGTGTGGTTGATTGTGACTCCATCGCTCAATGTGTTGCCAACTTCTCTGGTAGCTTTGATGACAACAATTTTCTTTGTTTTCCCCCATTCATCAACTGCAATATCTTTTATGACCTATTCATTTTTTCAAACTATTAGTTCATAGAAATACAACATAATTATCTATTTAGCTCTATTGCAGATACACTCAACAGGACGTTTTAGCCACATTTGAAAATGTTGTTCTGCTTGGTCCACCCACATTTTGACTTTTCAACCGTCCTCATTTATGAAATTGTTTCAAGATATATATATGGGCACTTTCACAAGCCAACATTCAGTCAATTTTACTCGTAATTTGTTGCGGTCCAACCACTGGCGCGTTTTGTTTAGTCTGTTGTGAATGCAGTTATCAAACTCTTCTGCAGAACAAAACAACAGGTCTAAGACAGCTCCTGGGAGGTGGTCTTGGACAATTTTCATGTGAACCTTAGTGTGGTTCATTTGCAGTGAAAACATAATCGCAAGTAATTATAGGAAGTGAAACAAAATGCAGGATTATGAGCTGCCTGTGTGTTGTTGAGATGGACCAAGGTAAAGACATGAACCATGAGTGGAAGAGGCCCGATGTTTGGTTGAGATGTTTTTGTTTATCAGGTAATTTAGAAGGGCTTTTCTGTTCTTCTACATGTTGTTCTGTGAGTGTTTTTCCGCTCATGTTGATTTCTGTGTTTACATTTTTTCCCACCAAATTCCTGACTGGGCGTTTTACTACACTTCCCTCAGGAAATACATAATTTGTTCGTGTGTCTGCTTTAATTTGTGCATTGCAAAACAAAACAAAGGTATTCATTTCACCCTAGTTATGATTGGCTAAACGGACTAGGGCTTTTGAAAGCCCCCTAAAACTATCTACCTGGCTGTCTTCCCTGTCACAAAGAATCTTCTCTATTTGTATTTCCTTCCTGTCAACCTCGGAATCCTGAACCTTTCCAACCTTTTTTATTTTCCTTGTATGAGAACCACGTATTTTCACAAGACGAATCCTTTCTAGCCAGAACCCTCTAAAAGGCTGCAGAAGCCACATTAATGTTCACGTTGCATAAACTGTATGTTCTTATATAGGATGAGAAACAGTAAATTACCATAAACAGGGTCTTTGAAGATAAGAGTGAACCGACTGCACTGAAGTCATTCAAACCATTTGGTGTGGTGAACAGATGATATGATAGCGTAGCTGAGGGAAAACAAGCTAACGACAGTCAGTGACTACCATTCAGATATTTTCTCGCACAGCTTTTTATTCGATGATTCACCCGGCACAGTCAAAGTGTGTCCATCTAAGCCTCGAAGCGCTCCAACTGTCAGTCACCTAACACTTAATGTGCATGAAAATAAATGAGACTTTTATATTTCACGATGCCCTGGAAGACGGTAACAACTCATGTCTCGGTCTGCAATCAGGCCATACCATAGAGAGGAAATTGATCAAATTGTTGAGGGATCTTATTCAGCGAGCAAGAGGACAAGCTGTTCACCATCCCACACCTCCCACGCCCGCGATGTTAGACCAGGAAGATGAAAGCATTAATAAATTAGACCGCAGGCACCCTCTTTTGGAAATGTAAACAAGGTTTTTGCCAACGGATATTCAAACGCGCACCTCTGACCTGTTATATCGCAGCAGCAGCTAGCGCCACACTCACGCTAACGAAGCCAGTTTAATACGATGGGAGGGGGAGTGCAGAATGAGTCATCTAAAATGTTTCGCAGCCGGAGAAAAAAATACTTTAAGTATTCAAAAAGTCCTTCTACTGACATGCTTTTAACACTTCATTTAAGAATACGTTGTTATAGCAGTAC